GGGGAAAGGAAAAAAGGGAGAAATTTTAAAAAAAAATTACAACTAAACAATAAAATTAGCAAAATAATTATTTTAATTTAAAAAAATACATTTACTTATTAAAGGTAAAAAAATGTGTAATGATGATATAAATTAATGTTATAGGTTATTTGAAGTTACTAATTATTAATTACATTAATATTTAAGAATATAAAAAATTAATTTATCATTAAACAAACGTTACAAAAATTACAAAATATCCATAATTTAAATACCATAAATATAAACATAAATTTTTCATAAAGAAAAATCAGAATCTATTTAAGATTTAACTGATTAATTTGAAATATTTAAATACTGTAACTATTTAAGATAAATTTAAATACCAAATTTAAATTCTAAATTAATTATAATACTGTAATTGAAAAAGAGATTAGATCTAACGTGGATCAGGTTGCAACAATTTTTTATAATACATAATAAATATTGAAATATTTTCTCTTTATTTCTTCCTCTAAATCAAATATAATATCTACATTTACTAACAATTTATTGTTTGATTCAGTTACGTAATTTTCTTTTGTATTTTTATTTGATTTGATTTTAATCGAAGGAGCCCTAGACAAATAGTTTTATTAATAAAATTATTTGTAAGTTCTTTCAATTAAAAAATTCCATAATATTTTTTTAAAGAAAGTTTAATTAATTTATACATGAAAATATATTTGGCTTGAATAAAACAACAAAAGTCAAATTAATTTTTCTAACTATATTGAAAAAATAAATTAACGAACAAGTTAATTCCTTAGAAATTTAAGTCATTTACAACAATTAAATTATATATTAATGTTAAAAAAAAATAATCAAGGAAACTTTACTTAAAATAATTATATTAACTCTTTGAAGAAATAAATAAAATTAAACTTTATTTAGAAATTAAAACATGAAAGAAATGGCCAATAGGGTTTCAGTTCAACTTATTTATTTTCTTCCTCCTTTCTCTCTTAGTACAGGAATTTTCTGAAGGATCATCGTTCATCTTAGGTAAACTCCAAAAACTGTAAAATTATTGAAGATCAAATTGCACTGTGAATCTTAATTCGAATTGGTTACGTTGTTTATTTTGTGTAGAGTTTTTTCTGCTAGGGCTCTTATGCTTCAGCTTGGTGTTCAATTGTCAGTTAATTACTATTTTATTTTATGGTTACTTTAATCCGATGGAGAACATGGAGTCTGAATTCGATTATGCTTTGCTTCCAACCGAGAATTGATGAAATGAATCAACGATAGTAATTTTTTATTTTTTTTAATTTAATGAATAGGTTTTGGGCGTGTTTGTCTTGGTGTGTTGCATTTGTGTGAATAAGAGTTGAAAACTGAAATTTGTGAGAGCAAAGTGAAGGTGGATGTTATCCGTTTCTTTGATTATTTTCTTTTGTTTTTTAAGGTGTGTGTATTAGTCAAACCCATGTTTTATAATATAAAAGGAGGAGTTGTAACGATAGTTGTTCCTCAGTGATGCATTGTCTGTGCCAAATAGTGTTTCGTTTTCTTGTTTGGATTTGGTTATGCTTTTTATCTTAGAGAGAACTGGCGTTTTTCACGAATACTAAATAATTTAAACAATTATTTTGTTCTGTTTTCTTGAATATGCTAATTGTTTTGTTGTCTGAGTCTCAAACTGCATTCTTTGAAAATAACTTATTTTCCCAGGTGATGATTTCTTGTAGTGCTTCAACTGACATGTTTTTCAGTTCCCAATGATTGAATTGCCCTGCATTTTTCAATAGTGAAAGGATTTATCTGACAGCGTGCCTTCTACTTAATTTCTTTGCATGTGGATTAGTAGCCTAGAAGGCATGTTGATTGTCCCATAGAAGATGGAACTCAATGGTAGCAGTTCAAGTGCCCCCAGATATGTTCTTCGGAGGGTCAACAGATGCCAGCACAAGTAAACTGAGAAAGAAGTTTTGTTAACCATGTATGCTCTTTTCTTCATTTTTTGTTATAATTTAGAAGACAAAAGCAGAGTTTACATGTGTTAGCATGCAAAATATGTCATGTGGTTTCAGCTATTTGTGTGCTTTTAAGTGTATATATTATACTGGTTTTATTACTAATATTCATAATTAATGTTGAAACATTTCTTTCTGGACTTTGTATTATTTTTTAACTTTAAATTAAAATATGTAGCATAGGATGAATGTTTTATTGGAATAATTTTACAGAATCCCCAAGAGCTGCTTTGTTTACCCTGATTTTTATATGTTATACTTTCTTAGTACGACATCATTTTTTGGGGTCTGGTTTCATTTTCTCCATGTAGTTTAAAGTACAAAATGTGAAAAAATTGTGGTAAATAATTGCTAGTGTTTTTAATTTAACTGTATGGAGTATTATTCTCAACTACAAACAAGGTAGTACATGCATGTAAAGTTTATATATAAAATTGACGTATGTAACCAAAGATTTTCGGAACCTATTTGGGATATTCTTACATACTCTAAAATCTTCAGAAAATTACTCTTGAATGTTGACGTTATGACTTGTGAGACTCTGTGTATTGATTGATTTTTTAACTTTAGTATCTCTTGTTCAAAGTTCTCAAGTACATTTTATGTTTTCTTGCAGCTGAGATAGCTTGGCATCAAATGAGAAAAGAATGGGTTGGTAATCGATCCAAAAAATTGGAAAGACCTCCTAAAGATTCAATTGTGAGGTATATGCATACATCTGATTTCATCTGTTATAAAATGGGAGAGGAATGCTATTTAATGGTATAATAATGGTTTTTAGGATTTAATTTGTATCCCACGCTATAAAGAGTTTTACACTATCAATATACAAAGTGATATGTTTAACACTGTAATTAAACCGAGAGAGGAATGTTAGTTTAATGGTGTAATAATGTTTGTTAGGATTTAACTTGGATCCACAATATGAAGAGTTTTACACTATCAATACCATGTGATGCCACTTGACATGGTTAAAAACTTTGGGAAACATTTACTGAAACTTAAGTGTTCTACTTAATTCAATAATATGATGCTGCTTCAGATGATTGATTTTTTTTTTATTTGAACAAGCAATGCATGTATTTGATTAAGAAGGATCTTTTACACTTGATTTTATCTGTGTATATCTACGTGGGAAAGATCGTATCATCCATGTTGAATCTGTAAAGATGAGGTGGTTACACTATTGACTTCACTGAAGTTAAATGAGTAGAAAAGGCTGAAGGAAGGGGGAGAACTGCATTTTAATTTAGATTAGAGATGGGTTGAGCTTTAAATAAGATGGTGAGATATAAAAGAATGTTAAATTAAAGTTTTGGACAACTTCATCTTCATTAGAACTCTATTCCTAGTAAATGTGGGATATTATTCCACCATCTTGGGCAACCGTGTACTAAAAATATTTGATCTGAAAATGGAGTGGAACACCGGCATTATCATGGATTTTGTTATCATTAACCAATTGTATGAGTGGCCTCCTCCTGAAATATACAGTTCATATAGTGGTTGCTAAATAACTATTCTCATTGCCAAGTTACACAAATCGTGGAGATGTTTCAGTATTCCGGACAGTCTATAGCATCTGCTTGAAAATTTGATCACCCATGTAGACAAAAGTATATACATGTTATTTGTTCTCTGTCTGGATTATAACTAGTTCATTTAGACTGCTAATGTTTACCGTATGTGCTTTACTAATTTATTTTCATTACATGTAAAAATTTAATTTGAGATGATCAACCTCAAATTGAATTATCAATTGGATGATTGGGGAAACAACTTAGTGATTGGGCTAAAACATAGGGAATGGGCACTTTCGCTAGCCAGAAACTTTTGAACTCATAATAGGTAGATAAGTAATTATTATAATTTGAGGGAGAGTGACAACAGCCTTCTTTTCTCTGTTGAATTTTATTATGCAACAGAAATGCAGACACTAAATGAATAAACTACTGTCAAGATGAAGTTCTGCAGCAAATTTATTGACCCTTTGTTATTTTTATTACATGTTTTTACGAATGAAACGCGGGTTTCGTCACCATCTCTCTTAATATATAATTGAGGTGAAAATATTGTATTCAACTCTGAATGTTAGAGTGAGAACTGTTATTATAGTCTATGTATACCTGTAATTCCTATTTCATTTCAATAAATTTAACCAATAATTGGTCTTGAGGCCTTTCATACGAGCTTCTGCTTTTTGTAAAGTTGAGGTCTTAATGCACTTTTGTAGTTTCTGCCTTCTTGTGTCTGTGAAACCCTATGTACCTATGTACGCATGTTGTGTTTGCCAACAGTTACCTTGATATCTCTTGCAGCTTAACAACAAGTTATGAGGATCTACTTTTGTCCACAGCGCCTTTTCAACAGCCAATATCATTAACTGTAAGTTCCTAAGATATATACAGTTTTTGTTATCAAATTTGGGGATAACTTAGGTGAAAAATGATAGAATCTTATATCCTTGTGCAGGAGATGGTTGATTTTTTAGTAGATTTTTGGCACGAAGAAGGTCTCTATGATTAAATTTCATATTATTATTGTAAGCTTCGGTAAGAATCTTGCACGGTTTTGTTTGTAATTGTGCTGATTGTTGCTGAGGCAAACAAGTTTTGGACAAGTTCGTGGAAGATCCCCATACCATTGGATTGATTATTATGATAGTAAAGTTTATTCTCTTGATAACAAAAACTAGCTTTTTCGCAATTTAAATCTGAAATACCTTTAGATTTCGTAATCATTGTAGTGGCTTCTCTTACAAGGAAATCTTCCACTTCATTTTTTTTTGGTAGAATGTTTTTTTTTTCTTGGACAATCTAATACGAGTTGATTTACGAATGAAATATTGATGCACACCACATGATAGGCATAATATCAATCAACAGTAGAAATTGAAAGGAAAGAGGAACTTATTTACGCTAAGAACTATTAACACCAGATACGAGAATGAAATGTAGAGAAAAACACGTAGTTGAAGCTCCATGCTTAACCACAAACACATTGATCATTCAGATTGGATCACGAAGCACATAACATTCCTCACGCCACTTGACACACACTCGAGATGAGTGAAGACTCGAATGCAATGTTTCAAATCGTTCCAAGAGACCACGACTGGCCTCTTTTTTAGTTCAATGTGCAGTAAGTTTTATGCCATAGTTCTCGAAAACTAAAGAAGCTAGCTTTACACGTTGCGATTCTTCTACACTATATACATAGAAAATCTATCCTACTTTAGCTTCCCATGCTAAACATTGGGGTCATTTTCCCCATGGTAGCTTCAAATTGTAGTGCCTTGGAGCAATGTGTTGCAGCTGTAGGTCTTCATAATTGTGGAGGGTCCAAGCATCATCCTCTTCCTCATCCGAATGGCCATAATAGAAAGGAAGGCGTTGTCGAAGCCTCCTTGCGTCTCCGTTGGGTCCATGGCCTCTGCTGCCTTGAGCTTGTTCCAAACAATGCATCCTCTCCATAAGTTCATCTTCACGGCTGGCTAGCTGTCGTTTTATTACTTCTAACTCAACCATGAGTTGGGTTTTGTGAGGGGAAGGTGGACTGAATCTGACGTTGGCTGTAAAGTAAAAAAGTTTCCAGAAAAAAAAATAAAATAAAATATCCAAAACAAAGAGGTATTAAGAAGTCAAATATAAACCCAGCTCAAACCCTTCACTACGTGGTTGCTCGCGAGAGATTAGTGTAGATAAAGTTCACTCAACCACTTCACAACAGGCATCCAAAAGGCAGCGTGCCATTCATATAGCCAGTAAGGAATGGAAACAACAACTGGAGAACACTAAAGCACATGAATTATCGTTGTGTTCACATGAATAGATTTCACTGTTCATAAATTTGTATTCATTTTTCTAAAGAAAATACAATAATTGATTTGCAGGGAATTGCGGGATGGAGAAGTTTTCCATCTCCCACAAATGTGGTGAGATTTGGAGGGATGGAGGGTATAAAGTGTTGATATTGGTATCACGCAGTTAAACGTTTTAAAGAGCATGATAATGGTCAATAACCAAGAGGGAATGGGCGAATTGGTTCTTTTAAAAATTATGATTTTCTTTTAGAACTTTCTTCAAACAGTTTAAAAGCGAGAGTTATAGAGTTAAAGATAATCACACAAAACATTTTATCCTGGTTCAAATCAACAGATCCTACGTCCAATCGTTAATCACTCAGTGAATCGTTAATCACTCAGTGAATCGTTAATCACTCAGTGATTAACCTTTTTCACTAAAATATTGTTTCAAATTACAAACAGATTATACAAAGATAAAAAGTAGAAAACACATTCCTTCGACACACGATGGAAGAATATAGTTCAATCAACTTGAAGATAACCGCTTCGATTTTAGACGCAATAAACGCAAGCTTCTCCTTTTCACAAAATGACTTGGTTATTTTTCTAAGGATTTAGGAAAGGGTATATATAGGCCAGGGGTCAGAAACTAAAAAATCTGCTCTCAATTGTTAGTGATAATCGATTATCATAAGTGATAATCGATTATTTAAGGCTGTTATGAGGTTTTTGAAAAAGTGTTAATTGATTAACCCCTGTGATAATCGATTATTTACGCAAGCAACCCGATTCTATTTTAGCTTGCAATAATGGATTATCCTATTAGATAATCGATTATTGCCGTGATGAAACTCTAGTTTGAGATGCTTATGAGCTCTTTACAATTACAAAATGAATCCTATACAATTGTTGCTACAAAGAATGCTTTTANAGATATAAAAGAATGTTAAATTAAAGTTTTGGACAACTTCATCTTCATTAGAACTCTATTCCTAGTAAATGTGGGATATTATTCCACCATCTTGGGCAACCGTGTACTAAAAATATTTGATCTGAAAATGGAGTGGAACACCGGCATTATCATGGATTTTGTTATCATTAACCAATTGTATGAGTGGCCTCCTCCTGAAATATACAGTTCATATAGTGGTTGCTAAATAACTATTCTCATTGCCAAGTTACACAAATCGTGGAGATGTTTCAGTATTCCGGACAGTCTATAGCATCTGCTTGAAAATTTGATCACCCATGTAGACAAAAGTATATACATGTTATTTGTTCTCTGTCTGGATTATAACTAGTTCATTTAGACTGCTAATGTTTACCGTATGTGCTTTACTAATTTATTTTCATTACATGTAAAAATTTAATTTGAGATGATCAACCTCAAATTGAATTATCAATTGGATGATTGGGGAAACAACTTAGTGATTGGGCTAAAACATAGGGAATGGGCACTTTCGCTAGCCAGAAACTTTTGAACTCATAATAGGTAGATAAGTAATTATTATAATTTGAGGGAGAGTGACAACAGCCTTCTTTTCTCTGTTGAATTTTATTATGCAACAGAAATGCAGACACTAAATGAATAAACTACTGTCAAGATGAAGTTCTGCAGCAAATTTATTGACCCTTTGTTATTTTTATTACATGTTTTTACGAATGAAACGCGGGTTTCGTCACCATCTCTCTTAATATATAATTGAGGTGAAAATATTGTATTCAACTCTGAATGTTAGAGTGAGAACTGTTATTATAGTCTATGTATACCTGTAATTCCTATTTCATTTCAATAAATTTAACCAATAATTGGTCTTGAGGCCTTTCATACGAGCTTCTGCTTTTTGTAAAGTTGAGGTCTTAATGCACTTTTGTAGTTTCTGCCTTCTTGTGTCTGTGAAACCCTATGTACCTATGTACGCATGTTGTGTTTGCCAACAGTTACCTTGATATCTCTTGCAGCTTAACAACAAGTTATGAGGATCTACTTTTGTCCACAGCGCCTTTTCAACAGCCAATATCATTAACTGTAAGTTCCTAAGATATATACAGTTTTTGTTATCAAATTTGGGGATAACTTAGGTGAAAAATGATAGAATCTTATATCCTTGTGCAGGAGATGGTTGATTTTTTAGTAGATTTTTGGCACGAAGAAGGTCTCTATGATTAAATTTCATATTATTATTGTAAGCTTCGGTAAGAATCTTGCACGGTTTTGTTTGTAATTGTGCTGATTGTTGCTGAGGCAAACAAGTTTTGGACAAGTTCGTGGAAGATCCCCATACCATTGGATTGATTATTATGATAGTAAAGTTTATTCTCTTGATAACAAAAACTAGCTTTTTCGCAATTTAAATCTGAAATACCTTTAGATTTCGTAATCATTGTAGTGGCTTCTCTTACAAGGAAATCTTCCACTTCATTTTTTTTTGGTAGAATGTTTTTTTTTTCTTGGACAATCTAATACGAGTTGATTTACGAATGAAATATTGATGCACACCACATGATAGGCATAATATCAATCAACAGTAGAAATTGAAAGGAAAGAGGAACTTATTTACGCTAAGAACTATTAACACCAGATACGAGAATGAAATGTAGAGAAAAACACGTAGTTGAAGCTCCATGCTTAACCACAAACACATTGATCATTCAGATTGGATCACGAAGCACATAACATTCCTCACGCCACTTGACACACACTCGAGATGAGTGAAGACTCGAATGCAATGTTTCAAATCGTTCCAAGAGACCACGACTGGCCTCTTTTTTAGTTCAATGTGCAGTAAGTTTTATGCCATAGTTCTCGAAAACTAAAGAAGCTAGCTTTACACGTTGCGATTCTTCTACACTATATACATAGAAAATCTATCCTACTTTAGCTTCCCATGCTAAACATTGGGGTCATTTTCCCCATGGTAGCTTCAAATTGTAGTGCCTTGGAGCAATGTGTTGCAGCTGTAGGTCTTCATAATTGTGGAGGGTCCAAGCATCATCCTCTTCCTCATCCGAATGGCCATAATAGAAAGGAAGGCGTTGTCGAAGCCTCCTTGCGTCTCCGTTGGGTCCATGGCCTCTGCTGCCTTGAGCTTGTTCCAAACAATGCATCCTCTCCATAAGTTCATCTTCACGGCTGGCTAGCTGTCGTTTTATCACTTCTAACTCAACCATGAGTTGGGTTTTGTGAGGGGAAGGTGGACTGAATCTGACGTTGGCTGTAAAGTAAAAAAGTTTCCAGAAAAAAAAATAAAATAAAATATCCAAAACAAAGAGGTATTAAGAAGTCAAATATAAACCCAGCTCAAACCCTTCACTACGTGGTTGCTCGCGAGAGATTAGTGTAGATAAAGTTCACTCAACCACTTCACAACAGGCATCCAAAAGGCAGCGTGCCATTCATATAGCCAGTAAGGAATGGAAACAACAACTGGAGAACACTAAAGCACATGAATTATCGTTGTGTTCACATGAATAGATTTCACTGTTCATAAATTTGTATTCATTTTTCTAAAGAAAATACAATAATTGATTTGCAGGGAATTGCGGGATGGAGAAGTTTTCCATCTCCCACAAATGTGGTGAGATTTGGAGGGATGGAGGGTATAAAGTGTTGATATTGGTATCACGCAGTTAAACGTTTTAAAGAGCATGATAATGGTCAATAACCAAGAGGGAATGGGCGAATTGGTTCTTTTAAAAATTATGATTTTCTTTTAGAACTTTCTTCAAACAGTTTAAAAGCGAGAGTTATAGAGTTAAAGAAAATCACACAAAACATTTTATCCTGGTTCAAATCAACAGATCCTACGTCCAATCGTTAATCACTCAGTGAATCGTTAATCACTCAGTGAATCGTTAATCACTCAGTGATTAACCTTTTTCACTAAAATATTGTTTCAAATTACAAACAGATTATACAAAGATAAAAAGTAGAAAACACATTCCTTCGACACACGATGGAAGAATATAGTTCAATCAACTTGAAGATAACCGCTTCGATTTTAGACGCAATAAACGCAAGCTTCTCCTTTTCACAAAATGACTTGGTTATTTTTCTAAGGATTTAGGAAAGGGTATATATAGGCCAGGGGTCAGAAACTAAAAAATCTGCTCTCAATTGTTAGTGATAATCGATTATCATAAGTGATAATCGATTATTTAAGGCTGTTATGAGGTTTTTGAAAAAGTGTTAATTGATTAACCCCTGTGATAATCGATTATTTACGCAAGCAACCCGATTCTATTTTAGCTTGCAATAATGGATTATCCTATTAGATAATCGATTATTGCCGTGATGAAACTCTAGTTTGAGATGCTTATGAGCTCTTTACAATTACAAAATGAATCCTATACAATTGTTGCTATAAAGAATGCTTTTAACATTGATACAAAAGATTCTTCAAGTCTTTAGTAGTAACATCATCAAAATCACTTCAAGACACCAATGCTTTTTATTGGTAACAATCTCCCCTTTTTTGATGATGATAAAAAATCTCTTATTAAAAGCATTTCTTGTTTCTTGCATAGATTCAAACTTACAAACAACATAAAGATGTTAGTAATAACAACTCTTATTTAGAATGTTTTCTCCCCCTTTTTTTTTATCATAAACAAAAAGGTTCCAAGAGGGAAGCCTCCCCCTCAAATGTTGCTCCCCCTGATGAGTGCATATTTATGCCCACATTTATGCTTTAAAATTCAAATTTTTGATGAATTCATGTGCTTGAATGAGTGATTTAAAGAAGATTTGTTATGATTGGATATATTGTGTTTGGAAATAAAAGGGACTTAAAAAGTTATTTTAATTGCATAAATTATTCTTGGAAATTCTTACGTTTATTTGTGCAACTAAAATTATAAGTTTTACTGGTCCAAATGGCAATTCAAGGCCTAAAATAAGATTCTGTTGCAATTTTGGAGAATGCTGAAGGGACTAAAGTGCAGATAGAGAAAATTTCAGGGCATTTGTGCAATTTTGAAAAGTCAGAAAAATTAAAAGATAAAATTTAGTGTTGAAATAATTTAATTTGGGAATATCAACAGAAAATATCTTCCAAATAATTATCTAAATCTTTTATTTGGGAATATCAACAGAAAATATCTTCCAAATAATTATCTAATCTTTTAGTTATTTGGAGGATATAAGATAAAAAATTTTGTCAACTGAATATTCAGAGTCCAAGCCCAATCAAGCCCTATATAAAGAGACCTAGGGGGAACTTCACTTCAATTCATTCTCTGATACTCCTCTCACTTTTCTTTCATCTTGTATTCAACTCCATTCATGGAGAGCTAAACATCTAGGGCTATTCTGCTGTAATTCCATTATGAATTCTGAGGTTAGATTGAGTTAATGCAATTGTTTACTTTGATTATTGATTTAAGTTGTTCTCTCTATGTCTTTCATCTCTCTATCAAATTAAAAGCAAATATTTTTGCATCATAATGTGTTTGAATCTACATGCATATTGATTATATGAGTTCTAGGGTTTCTAGGTTTAATTGAGAATATACTTTGATTTAATTTAGGAACTTTCATATGATTAAATGTTTTTACTATCAATTGAGAATATACTTTGATTGGTAGTAATAATTTCAACTATAATCAATTGAGAATTTACTTTGATTGATTAACTTTTAACTTGATTAGGAGATTTAAGAATAGACATGATTAAACACAATAGAATTTAATTGAGAATGTTCTTTGGTTAAATTTATTGTGAATAATGTAGTAAGGTTTTGCATTTGATTGAGAATTTACTTTGGTTAAGTGCATGATCGCCCTCAAATTAATTAATAATGTACTTTAATTAATTTGAAACTTAAATTAATAATCAATTGAACAATTATCTGTGAATAACCGATGATGAATCTATCTTGGAATTAGCCTATTTTATCATAATTGTTTTTAAGTTTCTTATTTTTTCTTTAAACACTCTTCAACCATTACCTTTATTCATAAGCATTGCATAACATTCATAAGAGTCAGATATTCGAAAGCAATTCCGTGTTCGTTGGGAGACTACTCAGGGTTACGTTAACCCTATCTACTTTCTTAAATACTACTTGGTAATACTGAAGTTTCCTTGAAAAGTAGTATTAATTTGATAGCCTCAACGACAGCGTATCACCCCCTCAAACAAACTAAAGATGCAATTCAAATATAAGAAAATTTGAAATTTTATTCATAAATTCAAAGTCAATTACATCATTCGAAATAGAAGAAAAAAATCATTCAAACATAAAGATAATCAAATATTAGAAATTAGGACTAGGTGAATGGTCAAGTGGTTCAAGTTTGAGTTGATCCTTAATGTTGCCTAGCCTAATATCAAAATCCTCAAAGCACTCACACACATAATCATGGTGAGATTGATGCATCTCAATGAGTTCTTCAAACTTTGTTTGATGAACCAAACTCATCTCTTGCATTTGCCTTGAGAGATTGGCAAAATACTCTTCCATGGATAATGATGAGGAGGAAGGAATGGATGAAGGACCAACTGTAGATGGATCAATTTCACTTTCTGGTTCAGCCATGTGAGCATCAATGTCGTCATCTTCATCTTCTTGATTTTCCTCATCTTTGTGGAGAAAGACATTACCACGAGCTACGAAGCTCATTTGCCGCAAAGTGGTTTCCCCAATTTCTGAACCTACTACTTGAATAGATTGGGTATGTTCTCCTTCAACAATTACTCCTTTATATTCAAGAATACGAGATATGAGAAGGGCATAAGGAAGATGGTAGGCACGATACTTCTGGGCTTTCAATATGGTGTCAATGATGAGAGAAGGCCAATCAATGTGGATATGGTTTAAAAGACCATAAATAATCAAAAGATATTGCTCTGAGCATTGAGTATGATTTGTTGCACGAGGACATAGGATTGAAACTATTAAGTAATGGATCATCCTTTCTTCCATCTTGAAACCTCCCACCAATAGTTGTGGGTAGCGAGATTATTGTTGATGATTCCTAAGAAATGATTGGTTAGCAAGAAGACGATTAAACCCATCAACACCTAGATGAACCTTGACCGCATCATCACAAACCGTCATCATAGCTACATTTGTCCTCCCATACAAGACGTGTAATAGGGATATCAATACAATATCGTTTCAATAGATTGCTTACATACATTAGTGCAGAAAGGGCTTTAGACGTCCGTCCTTTTGGCCTTTTGACGTCCGACCTTCCCCCGATGTCTTTGTGGGTGACGTTACTCAGATTTCGGGGGGTCCACATCGGACGTGTATATAGACGTCCAATGTGTCAGGCCCGACGCCTATCAAGACGTCTGGTGTACACCCTCGGACGTCCATATAGACGTC